AATTTGTGTATTCTGGCTGCCATATTGATGTCCTGATTAAAATTATCGTAACTACACTGTTGTTTTATTTCAATCGCCAACTTATTTTTAACTAGCTTTTGCTCGCGACTTTGACCGCAGCGGAAATAATGAAAATGGCAGCCTTCGTTACTCAATAAATGTTAACGGTGAAAGAATTTTTGAAATCAATTCTGAAGTTACGTATTTTACTAGGTACTAGCTGTCGATTGCGACTTTGTCCATGTAAAATTACGATATAACTAAAAATAACCTATATATTTCTTGACTTCCTAGTTAACTTGACTATGTTCCAAAAGCCATAAAAATTCGGTCAGTACTTTTGAAATTATCTCGTAACAAACATCCATCAGACTAACATTTTTAGTAGCGCAATCAGAATCACACAGAAATATTAGAGGAATAGTATATTAGAGGAAGTTTGAGAGTAGCCCCAGTGGTTAAGAAAAAAAGAAGTAAAAAGTTGGAATGGTATGGGCATGTTATGAGAAGGGATGAATCGCGGGTACATTGGTAGAGGTAGACCTATAAAGAGATAGATGTATTGCGTGAAAGGTGACATGATCAAGAAGGGGGTGATGACTGAGATGACGGATGATAGAGTGCTTGGGAGGACGAAAACCTACGGGAGTAGGATAAAGCAGGGGAGATGATGATGATGTGATTACAAAGCAAAATTAGATAATTTTTAATTGCACATTGGATGAAATGAAACAATCAAAGTAAATCAAATTTTTATTTTTAAATTACATTATTCACAGCAAATAATACTACAACATAGTTCAATAAATTAGCAGGATTGGAACAAACCCTTCTTGCGCATCTCTTCGAATTCCTTCTCTGCGTCATATGTCCTGAAAATAAATTATTATTATCAGTCACATTAAATTTATAGCATCATGTATAGATTAATATGAGAAACCTACACTAAAACCATAAAATACCAGAGGAATGTTTGGTTTGATCTATAACCCAAGTGGTCCAATGAGTTACTTTATTCCAAAATGAATGAATTGTTCAAATATACAAAAATACATTAATTCACTTATTGCCACTCCCAGTGTTGCCAATTAGTAATCTCGATAGAGATATAGATATAAAAATCAAAGTTAGTAACAAACATTCATCATAGATTTATTAATATTGAAAAAATAAACAAAATTGCATGACTATAGGGTTCGTGCCAATGACCAATAAGACTGTTTCTTAAATGAGAATCTTTCTTAATTCATAATTTATTTCCCTGTGTCCCGCTTTGGGGTGTACTGTTGATTATTGCCAGAGCATCCCCAACCCTTAAGTGCTGCATGTTCGGGCTAAACCTACTCCGGGGTTGGTATTGATTGAACATGTAGTCTGTCCCTATATATAGAATTTGTTTTAAATATACCTGTAGAATTCAGCATAGCGCCTCTTGCGTGCATTACCGACAAGCTGCTTGAAGCTGAAGCCGGCCACACCAGCCATTGTTAGGGCAATAATTAGGTTGCGCTTGATGACATTGTTGAGGAGTCCTCGCATCTGTGGCTTCGCTATGGTCGATACAGCCTTGTCTGCCATCTGCGTACATAATAACTATTACAACTGTTTCTTAATTTTTTTTAACATGTGGCAACCTTACAGAATAATAACATCGTATTTGTAACTTCTTATCTTCCATTTGTTAACTGATTATGAAGTACGTGATATACTAACCCAAAAATTTTAAATTTCGAATCTGAAATATTGTTATAAATTGAGGAGAAAACTTACGTCACAATTATTGTGCCGTTTGCAATTGTTTTATAAAAAGTATTTAACTTTCATTTATCAAAGTACTAAGAACATCATTTAAAAATAGTAATGGGAAATTTTTATTTCAGATTATTCAATATAACTTTAGAAAATGACAATAATCTCCGATTTTATTCGACAGTCTCAAAAATTCATGTAAATATTAAAAAAAGATTCACTTTAAATTAATAGCTTGGTCGTATTGACAGCCCATCTTACATAACTTTTGGTTATTTTTTAATTCGACCATTTACTATTTAATTATTATAACTACAGAAATACCTAGAATTTGATAAGGGAATACCACTACGTTATAAAATAAAATACTCACCGTTTCGATTCGTTTTTCGAGCAAAACCTTGCACAAAAGTACGATCACACAGCAAGTAAAACAGTAAAGTCGT